GCAACCGGGGTCTGAAAAATAAGATTATGATTATAATTTTTGTTTATATTATTCAATGACATATAATTATAATCTTTGTTTACTATCAATTTACATGTACCCGGTAAGTTATCTATAAAGATATATAATGTAGTGTGTATAGACATATGTAATTAAGGATGTCAAATTAATCAAATTTGACTGATAAAAAAATTGAATTATTCATCGGCAAGGTGCTCTTACATAAACTGATTGTGGTGATCAATATATTAAAAGGTAAAAACTGTTTCTAACTTTATATTGAAGTTCCCTTTCTTTATATCATTTTTTTTTCAACTTATTTTTTCAAATATCTATGATTTGACTTCATGATATACAAGTAGACACACTGTAGGTTAAGTGCAAGTATTTAAATCTAAACTTCATTATGACCTATTCAGGTACAGTTGAAGTGCCAATACAAATAGTACATCTGTTTAATTAAACTGTGACAAAGTCACCCCCTTCATATTTATTTATTTATATTTTTTTCTTATTCGACAATTTAATTGATTTAAGTTTACATAATAAAAAATATCCAGTATAATTGTGTATTTCATTGAACACTTACATTTGTATGCTTCTGTGGAGTGGTAGCCACTGGGACATGGATTCTGGGTAAATTGGGAACAGTCTGTATCATAATTCTGCTGGACTATATTGCCACTGTAGCTGTACTCTGTACAATAACCTGTTAATATTGTCAAAATTAGATGTTTGTGCATATAGGTAATGTTATTGTATGATTGAATAATTTCCATCTCTCTGATTTGCTGAGATCAAACTATAATGTTAGAAAAATACTATGTTATATTTACATCCACTGAATATTTTCTCCTTTATTTCTAAAGAAACCCCATTGCGTTCATCACTGCATAAACTACAGTAGGCATGTCGCCTGTACAGATTTCTTAATCAGTGGCTGTTCCATCAATGAAACGTATAAAGACGTTCGCATCATTAATACAATAATTAATCTTTCTAATCCTACTTTAATTGATTATTTAAACAGATATAAATATAAACAATAAAATGTCTTTCTTTGTTTGTTATTACTGGAATGAACGGTCGCAGCTATTGCAGAAAAAATTTACATAACCCGCTTACGCGGGTTATGTATTTTTTCTGCAACAGCAACTTCCGTTCATTCCAGTAACAACAAACAAAGAAAGCATTTTATTGTTTAAGTATTCCCGTACGAAACAGTCCGGGCGGCTTAGACACGGCTCAGGCACGGATTCCGTCTCCAGAAACCCATGCTTTAGCATTCTGTGCTCCTATGTAAAGTATGTTTGGAAAGCCGTGCCTTAAAGTGGTCTAGGCACGGACACGGCACGGGATATTGGCCGAATTATTTAAATGAGATCACACGGTTCTACAAATCCCGAGTCAGAAAGCCGTGCTAGTTTCCATATATGGACTCATGGATTCTGTAAACCCGTGTCTGTCCTTTTCCATATATGGAGACACGGTTTTTTTGGAAACACTGTCAAAAAAGCCGTGCTGTATACCATATAAGGAGTCACGGGATCTGAGCATTTGTTTCAGATCTAGGTCATGGCCATTAGAGAATCCCCTGATATAACTGTGGATGCCAAAATGGTGACTGAAACCAAACTAACTTCACATTGTTTACATTAATGCTTAGTTTCAGAATTTTAAAAGTTAAAAATCTTACATGAATATGTCTATTTACTTTCTGTTGAAGATTACCAACTTTATCAGTTAGATCCATGCTAGTTTTTAATTAAGATTTTAATGATAATGTACAATATTCAATTGTAATTTAATATAGTAGCTAATTAAGTTTGCACAATCTAAGAAAGCATTTAATTTAAATAAAACTTTCACAAGCACAGTGATGTCACACAAAATATATACTATAAAGGATTAGTGAAAGTCCCACTTAAGTCATTCTAATATAAAACTATTTCATCATGTTCATTGTCAACATTGCAATTCTGGAAGATCATGAAAATTGAAAAATTGACGGTTATTTATTCTAGATTACACTTACTGCATTTAGTTCAAAAGTAAAGCAATTATCCCAGACTGATATAAATACAATTCCAACTGACATCTTAGTTTAATATCCTTTAACTAGAGCAAAAAAAGCATATTCTTAACTCAGGGCCATGAATCCTTCCAATTTCAGATTCAAATAATGGAAGTTATGATTGAGCATGCTCAGTAAAAACCCGTGAGATATAAATAAATAATTTGAAGAGAAACCCGCCTAGTTAAAAACCGTCTCCCTGGCACACGGATTCCGTGCCTTCACACGGATTTCTGTGAGTGAGGATTCCTCACTTTCAGACACGGAAGCCATGTCCGTGTCTTGGACATGCAGAACCCGTGCGGCTTTTTAAAAACCCTGTGCGTATTCCGTGTCTTAGCCGTGCCCTAGCCGTGCCTATTCCACCTCAAACTTTCGTACGGGTTGACCTGCACGTGACGTTCCAGGTGAATACAAGGATGTATTTCCTCTAACATTGATCTAAAAATAGATTGGGAAATTCCAAATTGATACAAATCATTTAAACAACTATGACTTTTTATTCATGTGCCCTTCGGGCTCGGTGAATATTGTACTCCTCAGATAGCTAAATCATTGTATTGACCTCAAAAACAGTAATAATTCAAGCATCTGTAATATGTATAGTTGGTATGTACATGTAAACTGTGACTGAGATTTGGTACAGACAGACACATGGATTAACAGTTAGGAGGTAAACTTCTGATTTTTACAGTTATTCATGATCATCCCAACATATGACATTAACAAACAAAAACAGAAATGCTAAAATTTCATTTAACATCTGGTAAAAATCACTAACTGAAACTTGTTACAGACAGACTGACAAACAGAAGGGTAAAACTGTTTTACCCTCATCTCTACTGAAGATAGGGTATAATCAATTAAGTATAAAAAACATGTTTAGTTGATTACACAGCATGAAATGTCATGATATGCCGTTTTCGACCATGTTTGATAAATATTTTAAGCAAAATATTATGAATATTCAGAGTTAAAAAAATAACTAATATCAAATTCAAGGGCAGACATATTGTTAGATCACCCTAAACCCCTTATAGCCCATACACCCCCCTCCCACCCAAACACAAACACAAAGACTATACACATGTGGAAAATATAAAAAATATACAGTTTGATGTGATACATATATCCTTAATTTAAATTGATAATTTGCTTAGATATCTATATGGGGGAAAAAATTATAAACATTAATGTTTTTGAACAATTTAATATTTAATTTGAATTTGGTATGAAGTGTAATTATGTCAATGCCTTCAAATTTAAAACTCTTCATACTTATTAATTGATCAAGGACCCATTTGCTCACCTGAGAACTATGGCTAGGCAAAAATCAAATTGTGATCAGAAAATCTCACATGAGCTTTCAGCTAAGGTGAGCTAAAAGACTTTTTCCTTTTAATCTGAGACACAATCTAACAGGTGCTAGATAGCTTACGCACTTCTTTGAAGTAATCTTAGGTGCAAGTTAACTGAAAAATTGATTTTCTATATAAATGCACATTTGCTTGATTTCAGCCAGACAAATTGCACTCAAGACAGTCTGTCCATTGTCTACTTGGTAAATATACACTAGATAATTTTTTTCAAATTGTTTATTTCTCCATTTTTTAAAAGACCCCACTTCAACATGTGCATGAGTTTATTAAGCATTGCACTGTGGTCTACATTATACCTATCATTTGAATGGCCTAGTGCCCTAATTGTATGTAATAAAATGTTTATCGAATTTTGCTTTTATTTCTGGTACTAGTGTCTTAAATATACATATACTTTCTTTTAACTCTCCAAAGAAGGATGTGTATAGAAATACTGACCTCGCTTTCACTGCCAAAAATTCAGAAATGAAAATGTAAGGTAGCTGAAAAGGGCTTATTTTAAAGAAGAACATCTTTATACTAGCATTAAGGTATGTGTTGTTTAAGTCTAAAGGGGACAAAAAGTAAATACTCTCTGAAAAATAATAAATTAAAAAAAAAAGTATTTGTATGATGAAAGGGAATACTTAAAATAATAGTGCACACATCGTGCTTACCTGTACTCCATACTCTGTCTATCAAAAACAGTACAAAATTCATGAAAGCTGCATATCCTCTTTATGATAATTGTTGCATAATTTTTATCAAAACATGAAGAAAATCACAAATGCTCAATATCCTAAGTCAAATGGTAACGTTTGAGGCTGACTGGACTTATGTGAAAGAAATCATACATTGATAAAATAACTTTAAACAGAGAGGTCATTATGATTCTTGACCTAAACTCCGTTCAAGGTCACTTGCACATCAATTGGCTAGTGGCACTCTGTGAGTGGAGTATGAACCACGTTGGACCAAGGAGAGAGAAAACATGCTCCGGACAAGGAGTTTTCATATAATTCTGCTTTAACCTTAACCTTACACCTAGAAATATAGTTCAAGGTCATTGCATACGTCTTATCCAGAAATACTCTGTGGTAAAGTAGTAAGCAAGATTGGGCCAAGGAGAGACAATATCTGCTCCAAAAATTATATCCTGGACAGACAGATGGATGAACAGAACGACGGACGTCCAGACTAATCATTAGGAGTGCGGTCCTAATTATTGTATAACTTCTACCTATAAACTATTGTTAAATAAATGTGAAATTCTCTAAAAAATTGTGAAATTGAACTTAATTTTAATGAAATCCATGTTTCTTGATTTTCTTTAATCAATTTCATTTTGCCACATATACATGCTCATCAGTGAAAGATAAGGAATTAAAAAACATATTCTTCGTACCTAAAACAATATACATCCCATAAGCACAGACTTCCAGTGTTTGATTTACAAATGGATTGATCACACAGTGGCACACAAGTTTGTTAGGCTCACTACACTGGCTGGCAAAAGCTGAACAGTTCTTTCTTTGAGAAGCTTTGTTCCATTCTGATTCACTGGTTGGACAGTTTGGAACAATATCCATAGTTTGTCTTGATACTGGACAGGAAACACTGTTACATTTGACTTCCTGTGAAAGAAGCTTAAGAAATTGAATTAAATTTAAAATAAAAAAAAAGACTTCATTGCTTTCTTTTTAAAATTTCCTTAAAATGAGCGTTAAATATTTAGGGGGGGGTTTGTTCTTTTTTTTAAGGCATAGGTTGATATTTTAAAACCCACTATATTAAACATGGTACCAAAAGAATGCACAACTTCATGTACATACATGCAAAGTTTAAATAATTTATCTAAAATTAGTAGATTGGATTGTATTATATAACAAACACACTAATGAGTGAATGAAAACTTGGAGAGAAGTGATTTTTTTCCCTGTGGACTGTGGCTTTATATATCCATATATGTAGATATATTATACATGTGAATTGTAAACTTTTCAGATGTTATAAATTATACACTTTTAGCAAAGTAATTTAATTTGTCCATCCATGGCACTTGCTTGTATAATTTTACCAAGTGTAAATGTGCACTGTATTCACAAGTATACATTTAATTCTTCAAGGTGCATTGGGTATGGACAGAAGGGTAACAGATTGGGTTGTGTGCACATTTTGAAGATAATTGTATCTACTTTCATCTTTATAGATGTCAAATATTTTTATTCTCATTTATATAACCCTCAAATGGATTTGAAGAGAACATACCAAGGAAATTCATACTTTTTCCTGTTAATGTATATAAAAAAGAAAACTTAAGAATATGTATAGAAATCTAAGTTAACAAACTACATGTAGTACATGTAAGTATTTAGAGATAATAGAATGAATATATCAGAGTATAAGATTCAAATTTCAAAGATTTAACAGAATGACAGCTAGGTGTAGTTCCTACAACACAAATATTTAATAATACGCCCCAGCTGTTTAAAAAGACTGTTTATGTTTCGGTACACTTTTCAAGTTAGGTTGACAATAACGTATATATATATATATATATATACTTAGGAGTTGTAATTTAAACCCCAACTTGATAGAGCATGTTATCATTTTATATCTGTGTCTGGGACATCCACTTCAGAATTACATTTGGAAAAGTTTCAAATTGAGAAAAAAATGCTATGCTTTAATGATTTCAATGACCTTCGCAACATACATCATATCCTTTTATATATATATATATATATATATATATATATATATATATATATATATATATATATATATATATATATATATATATATATATAATTGCATTTGTATTGCGAGCACCCCCTTAAGTTTTAATTTAATGAAATCGATATTATAGTCTTATATATAAATTATAATACTAAAGTATACCTTCAGTATCAGAAAATTGATCATCAAGGCTTCCAATATCACTGCAATGATAAATTTTTATTGAATTAATTTGATAATTATACAATGCTTGATAATTTTTTTGAATAAGGACACTATTAAAAATATTCGTGTATTATAGTGCATAGTAATCTTTTTCTTAAAAATGTTTTCAAGATCTGTGACATCATTTTTATAGTGATAAAATGTGAAAACTTCAACATGTTCAACATATAAGAGGAGTAAAGTAAACCTTGTAATTTTTTGTAACAGGAAATTCGAAACAACAAAGAATCCAAGTTGAAAATACATGTAAATAAACCACTTTAAAATCAAGGTGACAAGTACAAATGAAAGAAGAACATTTACTTATTAACACCTTACCAACCCCTAAATTATTGCCAAAAAGAAAGTAGAATCATAAGAATGCGTAACTATTTCTTATTTAATCAAGAAAAGCGTCAGTATAACTCTCTTCTGAAATATACTTCATATAAGCTGCCAAATTAAAACCCGTCATTACCAGGGTTCTCCATGAGCTGTTTTACAGTGTTGCTCCCGAAACAGTAAAATTTTCTCCGACACAGTAACGATTCAAATTTTATGCACGCAACACAGTAAAAATTTTGCCGACACAGTAAGATCTGTGATAATTAGAAAATCTAAACAAACAAATTCTCTCTAACTGAGACTTTAATTAAACAATTATATCTTCTTTTAATTACAAAAGTTAGATCACTTAAACACTAGGGCTTCACCTTGCATAAACAATTATCTCCTAGACCCTCACCGGACTTTAGACATGACGGAACAAAGACAAATAATTTGTTTTCACACCTCCATGTAAGGGTTAATTGGTAGTTGCAATAAAATACATTGTATTATTTTTTTTAAAAAATATTTCAATATCTTTTCTATAGAGCCACGGCTCTAGAATTATTCTAGCACTGTAAGTCAGAATTGTAATCGTATTGAAGTCATTTACTTGATGTGAATAAATTGCTTAAAATTTTGAACATGTTCAAGGAACTCTTAAAATATTTTACTGTTCTGAAGTTTCTTTCTTTTGTAATGTGATAACTCAATCAAGAAAACTGATAAATAATCACTGCAAATTTACTTTCAAAAATATTAAGTAGTACGACTGTATCGGTCAGAATTTCCTCCACTTTTCAGAACGTGTTTTTACTTTTATCAATATGTACGACCATACCATTTTTGTAGCTAATTAGCGATTTTTAAATGTGTGTGCATGTATTCTTTTGTAATTTTCATTAAGCTTAATAGTGATTTAGTTGCGAATTTGATCGCGAAAATACCGCGAAATTTCAGTTCTTCGCGTTAACTCTGCAACACAGTAACATTTCAAATGATGGGGAACCCTGCATTACATTTGACTTTTACTAAATTAGGCCCTTTCATTTTCCTCCTTTCAGAGTTTTCGTGATCGCTGATTGGTCTCACATGGAAGTCTTCGAACTAAAAAGTATTCCCCACCATGATGACTCATTGTTTACCCGTTTCGTCAATCAACTGAGATACCTCGTGTGTTCGCTAAAACAAGAGGCCCAGGGGCCACATCGCTCACCTGAGATAATCGGCTAGGAAAAAGCACAAATCAAATCATTACTGAAAAGTTTACTGAAAGGGGGGTTTGAGCGGGGGGCTTGCATTTTAATACTACTTGAGAATGCCTTCATATTAATACAGCATATAGCTTTGCTTTTCTTAATTAATTAAAAGATTTTTTAAAAACATTTTCTTCCTATATATAACTTCATGATACACTGTAAATTGAATTTGATTCCCCATTGTTTCTGTCACTACCCCAAAGGGTCATGATTTGAATAATTTAAATCTTCAATCGTGAGGATGCTTACATATCAGTTTGACTAAAGAAAGCTTTTCTGTTCTTGGGATTTTTCCCTTTAATTAAGGTCTTCCATTTCCAACGGAAGACTTTCTACTGATTCTGTTGGTAAAGATTATTATACCCGCACTTTCTAAAGAAAGTTCGAGTATATTGTTGTTACTCATGTACGTCTGTCCGTCCGTCTGTCACACTTTTCTTCCCTGAACTCCTCCTACATTTTACACAGTAGCTTAATCATCTTTTAAGAGATGGTTGGTGGTGTCATGTAGATGTGCAGTAAGCTTTCGGAATTTTGATTTTGCCCTGGGGGTCAAATGGGGGTCTTAAAATGACGTTTTTTATGCAAAAAGCCCCGTCTTCCCTGAACTCCTTCTACGTTTTACTCAGCAGCCTAATCATCTATTGGAAAATGGTTGATTGTGTCAAGTAGTTGTGCAGTAAGGTTTCGGAATTTTGATTATGCCCTGGGGGGTCAAATGGGGGTCGAAAAATGACGTTTTTTAATGCAAAAAGCCTCGTCTTCCCTGAACTCCTTCTACGTTTTACTCAGCAGCCAAATCATCTTTTGTGGGATGATTGGTGGTGTCATGTAGATGTGTAGTAAGGTTTCGGAATTTTGATTTTTGCCCCGGGGGGTCAAATGGGGGTCGACAAATTATGTATTTATGCAAAAAACCCCGTCTTCCCTGAACTCCTCTTACATTTGACTCATTAGCCGAATTATCTTTTAAGAGATGTTTGGAGGTGTCATGTAGATGTGCAGTCAAGTTTTGGAATTTTTGATTTTGCCTTGGGGGTCAAATTGGGGTCGAAAAATGATGTTTTTATGCAAAAAGCTCCGTCTTCCCTGAAGTCCTCTTACATTTAACTCAGTAGCATAATCTACTAAGAGATGGTTGGTGATGTAGATGTTTGAAATTTCATTTTGCCCGGAAGGGGGGGGGGGAGGATGGTGTCAAATGGAGGTAGAATTTTTTTATATATATATATATTTGATATGTTTAATCACCCTGTTTTCAAGAACTTTCCTAATATGTTATGCAATAGCTTTAAACCATGATCATTTGGAAAATGATTGGTTTGTTTTCCATATGTGTAAAATGGTTTCAAAATTTGAATTTTCATGTGGATGGCAAAAAGGGGCAGGAAAAAAATGGCCCCTCCCTAACCCGGGGGTCATGATTTGTACAAACTTGAATCTACACCTCTTGAGAATGTTTGTATATTAATCATGCTCTTGTTGTTCTTGAAAAGAAGAATTTTGAAGATGTGTTTCCTTCTATTCCAAATAAAACTTTGATCCCTATTTGTGGTATTAGTGTATAAAATTTGATGAAAATAGCTTGAACAGTTTCTTTAGAATTGAAACTAAAATCTAAATAAATTGGATATAGATATTAAGTTCTCACCAAATTATGTATAAGTGCATGCTAAACATAAAAATGTCTTAAATTATTCCTTTAAAACTAAACAAAATAAAAATTAAAGAGGAGGGAGGTTAAGGTCACAGGAAGTGCAAGGTGAAGATTTTGATGCAGTTGAATAGCTCTCACTAATACATATCAGCATATTATGTTTGATAAAATATCTTGAATGATTTAATGAAACTGAGCTTAACATTTTTTTTAAGAAATGAGAGGTCAAAGGAAAGGTTGGGGTCAAAATGTTGTTGCTGTTGAAAAGCTTATATCAGTGTTAATTTACTATTAGCATATGAAGTTTGATAAAAATATAATTAATGGTTTCTTTAAAACATAGATAAACACATATTTTTAAAAGTGAGGTCAAGGTCAAAAGAAAATTAAAGGCCAAAATAAGTTTATGCATTAATAGCTCTCAGCAGTATGTATTAGTGTATAAAGTTTGACAAATATATCTTGAATTGTTTATTCAAAACTAATCTAGACATTAATTTTAGAAAAATGAGGTCAAGGTCACAGGAAATGTCAATGTAAAAAAAGTGAAGCATTGTAAAGCTTACATAAGTATGTATCATCATGTGAAGTTTAATTACACAACTTGAATGGTTTCTTTAAAATAAAGCTAAACACTAATTTTAAGAAAAGTTAAGTGAAGGTCAAAGGAAAAAAAATATTGCTGCAGTTGGATAGTTTACATCAGTATATGCATGAACATATGAACTTTGATAAAAATATCTAGAAAGTTTCTTTGAGCTCGATGGAAAGACAGATGGAAGGGTGGAGGACGGACATGACAAAAACTATACATGTATTCCTAATCATGACGTGGCATAAAAACCTTGAATCTACATTACATGAGGATGTTTCAATATCAAGATTATACAAGCAAATTCAAAGAATTGTGGTCCTCTGCTTTCTGTGTTTTAGTGAATGGAATGCCATAATTTATGGCAGATTGTGTGTCAAATATGCACCCCTATCATATGTCAATTTATGAAAATTAGGTCAAAGGGGAAAAATCATAGCATGCTTGGACATATTTTGTTGCAGGTAATGCACATGTCAGATATGAAAGTCCCGTCTCTTTTCAATCAAAAGTTATACAACTGTATATATATAAATATATAATATAATATTTTTGAAAAGTAGGTTAAACTTCTAGGTCAAGGTCACAGAGTCAAAAGTCATGATATATTTAGAAAAGTCTTTTCACATGTAATATATATGCATAATTTAAATGTCCTATCTTTTCTCTTTCAAAATGATTAATTTAAAATGATATTTTTTGGAAAGTAGGTAAAACTTTAAGGTCAAGGTCTCACTTGGGTTAAAAAATCATAGTACATTTAGAAAGTTTTGTGCTAATGTACATGTGAAATATGAAAACCCTATCTCTTATTATTCAAAAGTTATGACCAACTGAGGTTAAAATTATTGTGACAGATGCACATACTGTCAAAGATGGACAGACTGAAAGACAAATAAGATTTAATGTTCCCTCCCTTTCCCAAAAACGGGAGACAATAATGTCCTTGCTGTTCTCGAGAAGAAGATTTATGATGGAAAAAATCCCCTGCATATTTCTTAACGCAAATATCAATATTGTGTTTTTATGTCATTGTTTGTTTGTTGTTAAACATCCCTCTCAGGAATTTTTCACTCAAATGGAGACACCACCACTTGAAAAATAATGAGGACAAGTCAGATTTGAGGTCAACATTCATTTTAGGAGTTTTCATCCATTAAGTCGTAAAGAGATATGAACTCAATCCTTCCCCGATCATCCCTTCCCAGACCCCTGTTTATTCATGTATGCAAACTACGACTTGTTTTTACATTAAAAAAAAAGTTAATATATACAAATACTTTAATGTGGTCCATCTCTTTGAATGATTTTCATTCCTAATTCTTAATGCAGTCCTATTGTGAACATTTCCAGTTCATTAGGAGAGTGGAAATGACCTCCTGCGGTTCATAACCTTTATACCATTAAAACTTTACATAACATAATAACACAAAAAAACTAAATTATGTATAGTCAAATGGAAAAAGTTTCCTTCTATTTAGGAGTCACATGATCATTTGTCATTACAGGGAAAGGCAGTGCATTTGGGAGACCCCCCCCCCCCCCTCGGAATTTGCAGGACTATCCTGGTTGGGTGATATTGATGTTAATCAAGATATTGCACTGAATAATTTTCAACTGGTCCACTGTAGCAGTAAGAACAAACATAAAAAGGCTAGGCGACACTCAGGAGGAATATGTATTTTTGCAAAGAGTTGTTTTATGAAAGGAAGAATTCAACTGAAGAATAGTCATCCAGATATAGTACGGATTAAACTTGACTGTAACTATTTCAAACTAAATAGAGATATTTATTTAGCTGCAGTTTACATTTCACCGGAATACTCGGGTGGAAATAATACCGATTTAGAATCAATATATTTACTTTTACTCAATGACATTGAGAAATATAGTAAATTAAGAAATATTATTATTCAAGGTGACTTCAATGCATACACTAACACTCAACCAGATTTTATTTTGTTTGACATTGATTCTCATCGAGTTAATGATGATGATTTAAATTATCGATATGATAATACATTGTCAAGAAATAATCTTGACCATAAACACACTAACAATAGTGGCAAACATCTTCGTAATATATGTAAAGAATCTGGATTAAGAATCCTAAATGGTAGAACCACTGGTGATCTTACCGGTAAACACACCTGTTTCACATATAATGGGAGCAGTCTTGTTGACTATACACTTTCCTCGCAAGATTTACTTAACACACCTCCCAACCTTATTAGCATAATTCGGAAAATTTCGGAAGAACACATTGACAAATTTGAACGAAACCCGAATACGTCCGAACTACTTTGGTCGCGAGATTTCGACGTGACGAGATTGGGACACCTGAAAATCGAGGAACGTGTTGTTCTTGAAAAAAGAGGTAAAACTTTATGTTCCTTATAAATACAGGGGTTACAAATAGCAAAAAACTAGTTAATTTAAGATATATTTTCAGCTCAACTTAAATTTATGTGAGTTCTTTTATTCAGTTATGAGATATTGTACTTGGAACTGGAAAATTTTGCCTCTCGATTTTGTAAACAGTTTAACACGTGCAAGGGAGAAGTTGTGTTGACATGGCATGTCGAATGAA